TCTTGAGTACAACTCTTTCTTGGTAAAAAATATTTGCCTTTCTGTAAGATCCGACGTATTCACAGTGGAAATCCAGTCGCATGTATTTGGACTTTTGGAATGTGATAATAGTTCTTCGTCAACGTCAGTAATATTACCAGTATTTGTACCATGTTAGGGGTCATCGAACATATCATCTAATGGTGCAGTCCCAAAATCGAAAATTGGAATATCGGCTGCATTATTGTTTATGACACTGTGCTGATGATTGAGCTTGTCCTCCTGTACGGTTTGGTGATCTTCCGCTGCGGCGAACAATTGTTGGCTGTAATTTGTATTCCTCTCCATTTCAACACTTGGCAGGCCGGTTTTCAAAGTCGTAACACAGAGAGCAGTTTCCTTATGAACTGATATGTACCAATTTACGTCTTCATCTTCGAGTATATCGATCGGCGGTATATTCATGTTGGGAATTTTGAACTTCAATTTCATTTTTGTGCGCGGATCGAGAACACCGAGTTTGTCGTTCAACCATAACAATAGCTCGGGTAGTATAATACTGCTCGGCACTAAAATGGAAGTGGTTTTATCCCCAGTCCACTTCCATTCGTCATTCACGTGAACGAACTTTCCCCCATGCGATACAATGAATCTCAAATTATTGTTCATACCTGAAATGTTGGGATTACAATGATAGGAATTATGCACAATCAATATGTCGATTATACAATAGCATGGAAGTGACACGTTCGAATATTTAAACCTATGCAATAGTACAAGGTCAAATGAAGGATGTCAAGAGTTTTCAGCTGTCCAATTCGACAGTTTAGTTATCTATCCCACAGTTTATAAATGTCGGGTTCGACAGTTAAAATGTCGATCCCAACAGTTTCGAAATGTCGAGTTCGACAGTTCAATTGTCGGAACTGCCGAGAAGCGTCAAATGTGTTTGGTAGCGTTAATGGTTATAATCATTTTTCAACTACAACATCACAATTTATTTCTAGAAATAAATGACTGAATGCTTCATTAAATATGAAATACTTTACATTTTCCTAAATATTTTTGATATGTTTTTCTTTCAAAAATATTAAAAAAATAAGAACATAATGATTAATAGTAGTGATTATCATGTTGTCTTTAACATTTTAAAAAGAGTAAGCTATTATATAAAAATATAAACAATTCGTAATAACTGGCTTTTCAAAATAGATGAAGAAGATGGATGAAGTAGTGTCTTCTTGATCAAGAAGAAAATGGATGAAGAAGATAAATGAAATAAGGGTTTGTTTAACAAGAAACTTGTTTTTTTATGTTAACTAGGGTTTTTAAGGATTTTAATTCATTTTTTATTAACTAAATTCTTATTTTACAATGTAATATTCATATATTCAATTATTATAATATACAAATTAAACAATCAAATCACAACATTAATTGTTTTGAAAAACAATCATGAAGGAGCATTAAATGCTCCAAAAAAGGTCAAATTAAGGGTAATTTAGACATTTCACAACAAGAAAGTGATATTTTTGTACAAATTGTGTGCACATCAAAATTTTTTTTACATTTTCAAAAAAAGTGACATTTTTTGTAAATTCCCCTTGTTTATTTTTATCGAGCTATTAACAATAATTAGATCTATCGAAAGTGTTCCGTGCAAGTACGGTTTCATAATCATTGATACGATTAATAAAATGTCGAATTAGAAATCTTAATCAACATTAGTTTGTTTATAGGTAGAAAAACAATTAATACTAATTGAAAACAAATATAGTGGGGATTTGATTAAGGACCTACCATGTTACGGGCACATGCTAGACCCGGAAATTATGTCCCATTGTGTCATTATAATAATTTTCTTGGCATTCATTTCGAGGCTAACTGCATAAACAATACCATAACCATCAATTTTGGCATTTACAACATATAAATGATAGAATTGACTTATTAGAATTTAATAATATAATTAACAAAACTAACCTTAGTAGGTAGAGGTTTTAGAACTAACAAAAGTATATATTTAAATGATGTAGAGAAGATAGAAGTTCTACGTTCATTTTCTTAGTCTTTAAAAAGGTTTATAAAGTTGGTCGTATGTATATTATAATTGCTTGGCCATAATTTCCAACTTTTGTCTCTTGTACATGAGAGAAATGTGGAAGTAAGATTTAGTATTTACTGGGCTCTCACAGGTTTCAAACAACGGTTCTACTATGTGTACATTTGAATTGAGACGTTAGATGACACTCCACACACATAGTGGTGGAGCCACGATTATTTTATTAGGCTCGGGCCTCATCCCATGTGTGTGGAGTGTCATTCGAGGTGTCAATCCGAATGTACACACAGTATTACTGTTCAACCAACTTGCTTATAAGTGGGGGTTAGCATCATATTTTTATGCTATCGGTTCACAAATGAGATGTGTTGAGACTAATCTATGCATAGAATATCGTTTTAAATTTTCTTTATAATTTTAGCCTATGGGTTGGTTAGTGTCGAGCTCTTTTATGCAAGCCAACTAGGGCTTAGGCAGTTAGACTGCTTCGACACCACTACCCTTTTGTTCTCAACTAAAGTTTTATATTACAAAAATTATCATTCTTAATAATAAAAAGTATTATTTAGTTTAACTCATAAAATGTCATACGGAAAATGAAAAAGAAATAGTGAGTTCTCTAGTTCAACCTTTAAATTGCTTATTTCATTGTCAATTTTTTCTTTTTTATTCACTTGTTGCATTGTTGTTTTTTCAGAGGTTAGATTTATATCCTTCTTCCCCTGTATCCTTCACTTTTATTATATATATATGGTTGGGGTCCTTGGGGAACTCTTAACCCCATGGTCCTTTCTCGGTGGACCCATATATGTTCCATATAACATGCAAGAAATGATACAAGTCAAATATCAATGTGTATAGGTATAGTATCACAATTTTAGGTGTATCATGCTATGTCGGACTTCATAAAAATGGGTCGTGCCTAACAAAGGGTGGCTCGAAACATACCACGTACTCACATATATCCGTGTTCTAATTAGACAATCCAAATTTTTTTCACTTGGGACGCACTATTATGACCTGAAAATGAAATAGCATCCACAAAAGGCATGTGGATTTCATCTAAATGTTGTTGGTTAGGGACCAATAGATGAGTTTCTCATAAGGGATTGTCTAATTATCCCACTTGTTATCAAGACTAAGACCCTGCAACATGGAATGGACCCATAATTACTGCATTTGGATAGTGCTTTGGGAGGTGGGTTGGTAGGCCATTTATTGGCCCCTTTTGAGTTAACAAGGATGCTATTTTTTGTGGGATCCGAATACTAACTTTATGTCTGGAGATATATCTTGCATGGTGTAAAAATGTTGTCTTTCTGAATATTTAATCTGTGTTTTGAACATGTCTGAGGTTGGAGAAAGAGTTGCATTGACAACTCGTGATGTATCTTAGAGCCTGTTTGGAAATGATTTTGAGAATTGATTTTTTGACCGTTAGAAGAAAAGTAGGGTTCAATTGTGAGAGAAGAAATCAAATATAACGGCTGGAATAGTAAAATAACGGTCAAAAAATCAATTTTTTGAGAGCAAAAATCCCTCCCAAACAGGCCGTTAATATTTCCATGCCTTTTTAAAGTATATATAAAAATCTCAGTAATATATACAAATTTTCTTATTGTTAGATCTTATAATTAGTTATACAGTTGGATTCAAAGCTTATGCACATCTAACTCTGGACCGAGGGAGTGGCGGGCAGTTCATCCGGCCAAATGAAGGACCATCTGCGTCCTCGCCAATGAGAGCCAATCACGAGGCAGTGCATTTCCTACTTCGAAGAAGCCCCAAGTCCAAGAATCACGCAAGTGGAGGAGAGGCGTCAGTTCCAGATTTTTTGTTTTTGGTGGATTTTTTCTAATGTAATTATTAGCTCCATCATCATGTTTTTTGGATTTTTTTTTTTAGCGGATGTTTTCTGAATATAATTATTGGCTCTAGTATTCATTTTTTGGGATTTTTTTTTTTTAAATGAGTTAATAGCTTTAGTTGCACCGTGGTTAATATTTCTTCTTTCGTTATTCTTGATTTTAACATTCTTTTCTCCCTTGTAAAATTTTATCAACTTGCTTTGCATACCAAATACTACAAGCCATTCATTCCAAAAAAAAAAAAAAAAAAAAAAAAAAAAAGAAGAAGAAGAAAAGCAGCATTCGTGTTCCTAAAGTGCCATTTGAAAAGTTCAATGGTCAAAACTCAACCACCTCTAAATATAGGACATCAATTTAGTGATTGGGCACCAACTGTGCAATCCTTCTACCATTTAAACTATTCCATTACATTTACAAAACAAAAGTTGTCCCAATAAATAACATTTGACATTTTGAGAAGGTTAGGGTGCGTTATAGTTTTGAATTCATTTTCTGTTTTCTATTTTGAGATATTATTTTAAAATTGAAGAAAACACATTTAGTTTATCATTCTAAAAAACTATTTTTCAAAACAACAAAGCCTTGATAATGTCTTTGATTTAAAAATTTTAGACATAGTTTTCTAACAAATTTTCGATTAATTTAATTATTTAGTAAAACGTATCAATTTTATGCTACTATGTGATCAAAAAATATAAATATTAAAATTGGTAAAAAAAAAAATGGAATTATATTAAGTATATTTTCAACAATCGTATTGAAATCATCCATACATAATAAATCATTTGAAATTGTAGTGAACGATCGTATACATTAACCAAAGTTTAGTGATTAAAGGGGCAATTAGTTCGAGTTTTTCATGGACTTTATAAGCATGAGCAAAACATAGGCTAAAACATAGATAATGCACTTTGGCAAACTAGATAAAATAATCCTGGAGAATTCACAATTTGTCAATGAATATACCTATAAATTTAGGGATCCATGAATATGGAAACGACATTAAACTAAGCCTTGTTTTCCATTATGGTAAACGAGTATTAACGTAGAAAGTTAACTGGGTTTTGCTGGGAAGAAAAAAAGGTAAGAAATGTTCAACACGGAGAGAAATGACATTAAAAATACTGATATTTTACAACATAAAAGTTTCTGTCAATGAAGATAAAATGGTGTTCACATCTTATTACATCCTATGACATTATGAATTAGAAGAACGAGTTCCCCCTTGATCGATAAACGACAAAATATACCGCGTTCGAGAAGCTTCACGCAATAAGTGAAATTGTCAACACCACAACGATAACCTCCATCCCAATCCATGGGACAAATTCCATCACAATATGTGATATCGTGCCTAAGTAACAATTTCTCAAGGGTAAAACAAGAAATAATCGACTGTCAACACATATAACAATTAATAACAAACCTAAAAATGCTAATGAAAACCTAAGACACCTGGTTACATGAAAAAGAAACATAAAAAAATGAGGAAACTTGGTGATTTTGGATGTTAAACATGGTCAGTCTATGAACAAACAAATGGGGTCGGTCCAGTTGGAGCAAAATGCACAAATCATAAAAGACCTGAATCAGAATGTACTAGTGCTTTCACTTGCTGAAGCAGAAGGGCCTTCTGATTTTTGAAAATGGGATCCATGACTGCCGATGTCGAGACCCTGAAAACGGCCGAGAGGATCCTGCTGAAATGCATCAGAAATACCCTGTGTACGAGCGGCAGAAAGCATAGGGTGACGAGTAGTTGACATGCCAGCGTGAAGAGGATGAAACTGCGGCATCTGAACATTCTGGGAATCATTTGGCCTGGACTGAGGCTGATAAGGAAAGAATGTGGACTGGTTATATTGAATATGCTGCATTGCCATATCATATGCAGATGGGGCTGATATTTCTCCTGTTGCAATTCTGAGTCTTTCTACTTCTTGCTTCAATGCTTCGTTTAGTGCTGCATCAAATACATAAAATTGAAATTGAAATCAGGAAGTTAGATATTTCATTAAAATCCATAATCAATAAATATCAAGTAGAAACTGGAAAAGTTTTTTGCAAATCTGTTTCACCTCCTAATTGCTAGAGCAAACACAGACCGCATTCCTGCTTAGATATGGTTGATAAGGTCTGGTACTATACTAGCTCGCGAAAGTAGTATAAAGACAGTAATCTTTTAGAAAGTCGTGGGAATTTTCCTTTACAGAATCCAAAATTCTAAAGATTAAAATCAATCATTCGATTTTTTAACGATCTAATGTAACAATAAACCTCACTTACCATCACGTAACTGAGCTTGTTGCTCCATGGCCTGTAACCGAAGATGAAGCTCTGTGTTCTCATTACTCAGCCCCGTTGTATCCCTCTGCAAAAGAAAATAACAGTTGATTAAAGTAAGACAGCATCAAATAATGTGTAAGGAAGATAAATTCCAACTTGTATATGGCATGGATATGCCAGGTGTAAAACTACAATTGAGATTATTGAGTTTGTCACACACAGAGAAAGGCTTGGAATTTCTAAGGAACATCAGCAACAAACTAAACATCGTTCAAATTTAATTTGGGGTCAGTTACATGCATCCTTTATCGCCACTTCATTCAGGTCAGAATTTGTATCGTATTATGGTGGGCAATGCTTTCAGCGGAGATCTTCCTTCCCTTACTTTTATAGTTCTCAAGTTAAATATAACAAATTTATCAGGTAGAAGATACTCTAAGCTCAGGGGGTTTCTTCTTACTTTTCGTTCCTTTCTTTTTTAACAACCAATCCCTTTCTGTTACTGTTTCATAGATTCATTTTTTTATTACCTTGGAAAACAAACCAGAATTCCATCTTGACTTGATATTCAATCGCAACTCATTAGCTGATTTGTAAATGACATGAGGTTGTTACCATTTAGCTTGAACCTAGTTCAAACCAAAGAAAAACAAGTGCATGTGCATATATGTAGCACCCAAGTGGAAAGATTGATTTCACAAGGCTGCAGAACATGGGACAGGACAGTGATCGAGGGAGTGGTACAGGAGGGTCGTTAACCATTTGACAATAAATTGCTTGTTGACAGCAGAGTCATGAAGAAAAAGATTATTGTTCCTACATGACTTGAATATGGATATAATGTCAAATATCTGAATTTGCAGTAAGATTTCGATCTTATCTCATGCACACTAACTTAATAACATGCTCTCTGAAAAGCTACAGTACAGAGATGATTCTACAAACTGAAAGGCAAGTTCTCAAAGAAGTACTTGAAACAGCGTCAATTGAGCAGAAAGAGTGGTTGCTTCAGTTTGAAGGGTCTGGACTTTTCTCTCAAGTTCAGACATATAACGGGCCTTTCTTTCTTTTGACCGAGCAGCAGATTGTCGATTGGCCAATATCCTGTACATGAATTCAAAACATAAATTTAGTAAAGAAACACAAAATCTGAACCTGTGTACAGTAAACTATTAATATAAATTTCTACTAGTTCAACTTTGAGTATGATAAAACAACTGATAGGAACAAGAAGGTGCTTGCTTCTATTATGCTCGATCCTTGCAGATGCCATAACATCATATTAAGCTTTGTCCTTTCTTCATTTTGCTTGGTCCATTTCTCCTCTTCTAAACTTTCCAAGGAAATCAATTTTTCGGAATTAAGGGTCTGTTTGATTGTGAAGATGAAATTTGGATAGAAAGAAAATGAATTTCAGGGAATTGAATTATCTAGAAATTGTTTTCCTGAAAATTGTAAATTATTGTGTTTGATTGGTATAATTTTTCACGTGGAAAATGTTGAAGTAAAAGTGTTTTTGTGTTCGTTTGACTTTGTTTTAAATAGAAATTGTCAATTTAAGGGATATTCACTTCTACCATTGTTCCTAGAATTTGTTTCCATTGCCAACGAAAAAAAAAAGATAAAAAAATCATCTATATTTTGGTGTTTGTTTGACTTTGTTTTACATGAAAATTGTCAATTTCAAAGATATCTTCTTTTACAATTGTTTCTAGAATTTGTTCTCATTGCCAACAATTAAAAAAAAAAAAAGGGTGGAAAACCAAAAACCACCTACCCCTAGGAAAATAAAAGGTGGAAAATCACGCTTTAAGGTGTTGTATCTAGAAATTCATGGAAAATCCATTTCCAGGATAATTTTGTCAATCAAACAGGCCAAAAGTGAAAGTTGGAATTCAAATTCCAAGTTCCATGGAAAATTTCATGCAATCAAACGGGGCCTAGGTGATTTTAGAAATAGATTAAAATTAGGTGCAGCTCCTTAAATGTGATCATCTCCTCTTATATCCGTTAGATTTGATGGTTCATATTTTTGTGCTGAATGATTCATAAAAGTAACAGCATTCTTGCACTAGATTTACTCTTACTGCAACAATTTGTTTTGAGTTGGTACTATCTTGCCAATGAAGCTTTGAGATACAACGAAAGGTCCCGTGCATGCTTCCTTCCATTAGAATTGCTAGATCACTTATTTTACAAATCAATCAAAGCTAAACCAACGCCATCATTCTTTATAAAAAAATCTAAGAAAGAAGTAAACCCCTCTTTTGAAGAATGTATACGAAAGATAATTGGAAACTACAACAATAATCAGTCAACTTGAGTTGGGCAAACTCAACATTCACAATGATCTATTCCAAGATTTCTTCAATCCCATAAAGGCATAACAAGATTTTCAAGTTTTTTTTCCCTTCTTGATTCTGTCCATTTCTAGATCTCTCCAATCCCACAACTAAAATGTAACTAAATCCATTAAGATCGACTCCAAGAATGCAAATCGGGAACAGATATATACCAAAAAATATATATATATAGAGAGAGATAAAAATATTTAAAAGAATACCTTTTGGCACGTTTAGGATCAATATTCCATAACTCAGCAAGCTTATCAGGAGCCATTGCTTTCTTAGTTTCAATACTGCTCTCACCAAAAAGAAGACTCGAATCCATCGAATTACTATGCCTGTGCCTAGGCCTAGCTACGCCACCATTACTCTTCTGCCCATCACCACCGCCTTCCGCCGCCACCCCACCATCAGAGCCGCCAGCATTACCGAAAACATTGTCTCCCATTCCAGATCCACCACCAGCACTGAGTTTCTCTATGTTCATGTAGGTAGAAAATAAATCGTCCTCCTCCGATCCCATCTCCTCAAAACTTCCAGCCGGCGGGTCGAACGTGTCCGACCCAAGATCCAGGTCCTCCGGAAGCCGGAAGTTCATCTCCGAACGTGCTCTCCGGTGGTGGGCCGGCCTCATTGGCCCTGGAAAATGCTTGGAATTCGGATCTTGCATTTTGTTCCCAAAAAAACACTGTACTAATCCTCGTACGACGAACAATGAACAGTTTTCGTTACAGTAGTTAAATTTTTGTGGGAAGTACGAAGAGTGAAGATCAATAGGAGGAGTGAGCTTTCACTTTTCTTCTGTTCTTGGAACGGGTTAACGAGAAAAGTGGGTGCTTTTACTATGTGAGATTGGGCTGAAAGTGTTCGACTTTTGAGAGTCCATAAGGGTCTAATCATTTCACAGCGTGGGGGTACGTATGGGATCGGATCCATGATAAGGACATATCAGAGGATGTCCGAAAGTAAATTCATGTTATGTGTACAAATGTCGTGACTTTGAGGTTGTTTGGTTTGTCAAGTGTTCTTCAATTCATCACAAAATTTTTAAAAAATAATCAAAATGTTTTTCGATTAGCTCGAACTTTTGTCCCAATTATTACAATAACATTCGGCGCTTTAAAATGGATACATTGTAGTGTATCATGAAAACTTTAAAAATAATCACGAGTACATTAGCAAAATTTGCATTTGCATAAAAGTCAATGACTTATGGTCTATTTGGGAGCGATTTTTCCTCCCAAAAATTGATTTTTTTATCGTTATTTCATTATTTCAGTCGTCATATTTGACTTTTTTTCTCATAGATGGACTCCACTTTTCTCCTAACAATAAAAAAATCAATTCTCAAAATCACTCCCAAACAGGCTCTCAATATTCATACTTTTATATTGTAAATGCTAAGTTATTGAACTTTTAAAGTAGGCTATGCAATGACTTATTTTATGGATCATTCAAATGTTGGTATTTTAGATATCATTAATAAAGTTTTGAAGGTAAGCATTCGATTAGATCCTTACTTGTTATGATTACAACTAATAGTGATCACAATTTTTTTAAAATTCAATTGTACATGGAAATAGCAATGTCTTACACTATATGAACTATGAATATTCATGATATGGATTTAACTAGTGTTTGATCTCGGCAATACATAATTCTTGATTGTTTTGAACTCCATATCCAATGGTGCCGAGAGAAGCTGGATTTTCAAAATACAATATTAATTATTTACATTGAACTAAAATGTCTTGACATAATGCCCCGGTTTGGTCTCCATTAAATTTCATTACATTACATTTTATTTTTCTGTTTTCTATTTTCAATGACATAATCTTCCATAAAATAATATTACACATAAATCTAAATTTTTTCCTGCTTTTTTCAATCATTCATTTTTCAAAAATATATTATTCCACCCATTTTTATTTTTAAAAAATGGGGGCCAAACGGGAGCAATGTCTCATGAATGAAAATACAGACATCATCAATAAATTATAAATTTTCTTCAATGCTTCTTTTTCATTTTTTTTTCTTTTTAATGTAAGGTTGAACGAAAATACAAAGTGCTTCTTTTTTACATTTTTTTTTTAAAGTAAGATTAAACGAAAGCAGTTGTTAATACTTGTAGCTTGCTTCTCTAAGCCTCTGCCTGTTTCCAATTATTTGAATACAATAATGCATTTCTTGACTCTTTCTTATCTAGCGAATGGATCCCATTGTGAGATAGAAAGTCAAAAATCATGACTGTAACATTTGCAATTTTCCGAAATTGAATTTAAATTAAGCAAAAAAATTGGAAACAAACGAGGCAAAGGCTAAGAGCTTGTTTGGGAGGAATTTTTTACTTCAAAAAATTTATTTTTTGATCGTTATTTTACTATTTCAACCGTAATTTTTGACTTCTTCTCTCACAAGTGGACCCCACTTTTATTTTAACAGTCAAAAAATCAATTCTCAAAAACAAAGCCTAAATGTATAACATTTTAGAATGAGAAAAAAGGAAAAAATCAATCCACAAATCGTTTATAGTACTAATTGCATCTTAACGTGGTCCCTAACAAAAAGCTTTCATTGTATTTGAATTTGAAAATCTAAACACCAAAACATTAACAAAACAAATGGCATTAAACGTTTGAACTTTTGCATGTGACCCAATTATTCCCCGAAGATTCATCGGACGAATGCTTCTCTCAATGCCCACATCTGCCAATTTAAATCCAAACCTACTACCAGCATTTTCCCTCCTTTAAACTTCTACATCCCAAAGAGAGGTGAATACACACACTTGTGCAAGTCTTTAATAAATGGTTGTCTTCATTTGTATATTTTGCTTTGAAATCTTTTCTTGATATGGGGATTGAAGATTTCAATTTGAATTTGGATTTTATGGGTTTCATTTAAAGGGTCGTGCTGCATTGTCTCGAGCATTGATGGGGAGTGAAAGTTGGTTTAAGAATCAATCTTTAGGGATGTCCAGATCTGAATCAAATGTCAGGGTTTAAGAAATAATCTTGATTTTTATTTATTTATTTATTTTTGTTTTGAATACATTTCTTTTTTGTTTAAATTCATGATGTTCTTGGTTTTGATTTTTAGGCACGAGTGGGGCAGAAAAGAGGTATTATGGAAATTGAAGAAATGTCGGCAATTTCTCAAAAAAGAGTCAAAATGCGTGATATTGAAGTCGTTTTTCGTTCTGATGGTATGTCTTTTTCTTAATGTACTTTTCTTGTGTAGTTTCAATGTTTTGTTCGGTGAATTGAAAGAAATTCACGGTGCAAATTTGAAATTTATTATTATTATTATTATTTTTTGATAAATAAATTTCACCGAGCTTAATTTGTACCTTGATTCGTGGCTTATGAATTTTGGGTTTTTTATTTGGGTTTTCTTGTGTAGTTTCAATGTTTTATTCGGTTAAAGAGATTATTTTTCCTTAAAATAATCTGGAAAACAAATTTTATATAGATCAAGGAGGAAGAGGAGGAAGTGATGCAGCATATCCAGTGATACGTTCTGCTACACGCGCACTTGATCTCAATATGAGTGTTGGTTCTATCAGCGATGCTGTTGATGATGATACTCGAGTATGTATTGAGGAACGCAACAAACAGCCCACATTCGGGATTGAGCAAATGGAAAGAAGTGATGATTTTTCAAATTCAATGCGGTGTAAGTTAGGTGTAAATGCTGAAGATATTTCCAGTTCAATCAACCATGACCCTTTCTATCCATACAAAACATACGAGTACTCAAAATCAAGGAATAATTCTGATTGTAGAAGTTCTATAGGTCTATTGGAGGTAAAAGATCCAATGAGAGTTTGGAATAAGATGAAACAAAATGGTTATCTCTCCACTTCTTATGGGGCAGCGCCAATGGCAATGCCAAAGCCACGCGTAAGGAAGAGTAAAAATGACGTGATGAAGAGAAATATAGAACTTGCCAAGAAAGAGCAGGCAGATATGTTCGCAAAGGTTGCTGCTCCAAGTGGATTGCTTAATGGACTAAATCCTGGAATCATAAACCATGTGAGGAACAGTAAACAGGTTCGCTCTATAATGGAAGCCCTGGTGAGGTCTGAAAGCAAGCAAAGTAATCTAACAAAGTGTAGCATGGAAGAATTTAGTGATAAAAAGGACCCTGATAAAACAAATTGTTTGAGAGTTAATGGTGAAGATATCTTGTCCATAAGCAGGCCATCATCGAGCAAATCAACTTCTCTGAACTCTGAACTCACTGGAGGAAATAGTTTTTCATTCAAGGGAGAGACAAAGATTTTTGAAAGCAACCCTTCATACAGCTGCACTAAAAAAGAGGATGATGGACTCGTACTAAAGTTGTCATCATGTGGAACTTTAGCATCAGAGAATATAAGCTCTTTGTCAAATGTGGAGTCAGCAAATCTATCCAGTGCTGTTACTTCGCTTTCTGTCAAAGGTTGGATAATTGTATTCTTATTGCTTGCATTATTTTGTACAGAGCTCAAGGCTTACATCTTGAGGCATGCCTCATGTGAGGCCTCCATTCTTACATTTTGATTGCCATTTGTCAAGCCTTACAATTTGACTTACTCAGTAGCGGCCTTCTTTGAACTAGTTTTTTTTATTTATATAATTTATGGTTTATTGTGGGTATAATTGTGTGTATTTGTAGATTTTGGAACTATTTTATAATTTTTATTGATTTATGTTGTCTCTTATGCCTCAAAATGCTTTGCTGCTTACACATTACGTCATGGAGGGAAAACTTCACAATACTCTATTGAGCCATGTGGATTTTTTTTCATTGTTTTTTTATATTTGGATACATGGTGAATATGAATATAATTTCTTCCGAGTTTTTACCCTTTTTATATGAGGGTTTGTCAAAATATGATTGATAGCTAATGACACGATAATTAATGTTTCAGCATTATCAACTTATGCTTCAAAAATATTTCTTTTTCCACTTGTATACCATGTTGATAAATCCAGTACACCAGATCAAAAGGAAGTAGTAAGCTAATATGAGTGCTGTTTTGTTTTCAGCTGCTAATGTAGCTTCCCAATGGTTGGAACTTCTTAGTCAAGATATTAAAGGGCGTCTTCAAGGTAAATTGGTACTTTAAAAGTCAAATTCCATTACTGGTAATAGATTCCTAATTTAGTATTTTCTCCAATTGCAGCGTTGCGGCGTAGTAAGAAGAGAGTTCGGGATGTAATTAATACAGAATTACCTTGCCTAATGTCAAGAGAATTCTCATCTAACCAAGAGAATGATCTATATGCAGAAGGTTCTAACTTTTGCCATCCTGACAAAGCAATGATCAATGCTCTCTTTGTTAGATGGAGAACAATGTTTGGACATATGGATAAAGCACTATCTGCAGAAGAGAGTCAACTGGTGAGTTACCAGCGGTGTGAAGGACTACAAGTTCATGTTTGGTAATGAGGATTGGATAACGCTAAATAAAATTGTGAACAAAAAAAAAGCTAGTCTTTTTCGTTATATGGTTCAGTCATTTATACCAAACACGATACATTACCACAGTCTAGGATATGAGTTTATGCTGAATATTTTCGGTTTTTTGTTGTAATCAGGAAAGTTGGTTGATCCAAGTAAAGGAAATGCAGTTGTGGAGTGAACCGATTCTTTCCAAACATAGTGGTTTGCAGCGAGCAGGTCCAAATAATTGCAGGTAAACATAATAAAATTTCAAATACATCATTAAACTTGTACTGAAGTTTGCAAATATTGCGTTTTGCATATTATCGTGTATATATATTTTGTTTGTGATACTTTTATTATTTCTTGTATGAGAAAAGTGATTTTGACTTATAATTTCATAGAAAACACTTAAATATCCAGGCATCTTCGAGGAACATGCAAGATTAAGCTTAGGTTCACGTGCATGTTATCTTCTTTTGGTCTGTAGAAAAATCAGTTATGCCGTTCTATCTATGCTGTCAACTAGCAAATTATTTTTGCCAAATCAAATAAAAAATAAAAAATAAAAAAAAAATCACCTGGTTCCCATTCTTTAATCCCACTTTTTATTGGTTTTATAACAAAATTTCTACTAATTCACAAATATTGATTATGCAGATCCGAAGAAGCCAATGACTCAGAAAGCGATTTAGCTATCAGGGCTACTGCTGCTTCCATGTATTCAACTTGCAACTTCTTGTTATCAATGGAAAACCACTAATCATTAATCAGCTTCCTATCATTGTATTCCACACTTACATATTAAATCATTGTTGAGTGCTTGTATTATTAGCGATACTGTTACATTTTTTAAACTAGATGTTGAATTTCATTGTAGTTTCCGATTTTTTCCTTTTCTTTTTCGTTCAACCATTGGGACCGAGAATAACGTTGTGCTTGTTGCTCAAGAATATAATAAGAATTGCATTGTTCATGTATTGACAAAAGGTGCAAAACTGGGTCGAGCCGCCAAACTTTAACAGGCTTGGCCTGCTCTTTGAGCTTCCAAGCTTGCAAACTATTTTTAATTTTGTCTTTATAAAGTTGTTAAAAATAAAAATACGATAAGGCTTGTCAGTCTGACATAGGCTGCCAAAATCATTGATCGTGCCATAGTAACTCATTAGCAGTTGTCTCTAGCCTCCTTAATAGGAAGGTTGAACTACCTTTATGATAGTATTGAACTACTTCATATAAAATCTTCGTTTGAAAATTATTGCTATGGAAGCATATACAATTACAGGACGGATGTTTAGTAGCGATTCTTGTAGTATTGTTCGGGGAGGCGATAAGCTAATTTCCGTGAATATTCATTTGCTATGTTGTACACCTTAACCGGAAGCCATTATAGATGTTATAACAAAGCTTCGTAAGAAAATATCTCGAAAAATCTATGAAGATAGAATTAGGTCTCATCAAGCGAACCCGTGTTTAACTTCCAATCAGAAGTTTCATGTTGGACGAATTCCAAATTTGGTCCTTTGTTTTTGGTATTATGTTGAACTGATTAATCTAAAAGTATAAATTGATATATATTCAATAGTAATACGAATCACACCTTAAAGTTTCGCATGCTTCGCTTGAAAAAGTTTATGTATGATAGTCTTAAACTTTTAGATAAAACTGCTAATAATGTAGTGCTTTAATGGCGAGTTGCCGATTCTTGAGATTTGTGGCCGGCGGAGAACTGATTAATCTATTAATCCAAAATGAGTTGCATTAATAATTCCGCCTTTATTAGAGATTGATGCCTGTTTTATATGTTTCCTCAATTCATCCGTCAAATTTGTTTGTTTCCCTGTAAACCTTAGTCCCTCTTCCATTTCCATCCAACTTACTATCCTACATTAATACTTGATTGAATATTAGTACTTATCCCACAAGGCTTGCAAAATTCACCCAAAACATAGAGTTTAGCTTCACAAACTTGACTATGAATCACTGGACTTTGATTTTGGCGATTTTTCTCTTGATCTCCCTTGTCCCATGTCAATCCAATGCATCTTTTCTTGTATTCTTTAGAAAATTGATACAGGTTAATCACAATTCACAGCCAAAACCCATAAAAACCGATCAGGTATGCACGTTTCTATTTGTTTATGCGTCTTGATTTGTCAATAAGTCCCCGGTTTAAGTTTTAGAACAATATGATTTCATTATCTGGTAATGAAAAGTAAAGAATGTTTATATTATGTGTATAGATGTCTCCATCGCCAAGCCCAGTTCCATCAGCTAATTCGAATACTAGGGATGTTCAAAATCCAGTGAATCAGCCAAAGTTAGATATATGTGACATGGTGTCTGATAAGTGCCACATTGCAGGATACAAAATCACAGCATGTGTTCCTTCTCTTGGAAAAGGTATGCATATTTTATCCTTTTTCATTTCACTCCCCAAATTTGATCCTAACCCACTAAGATTCAGCACGAATTCTTAGATGGATCCTCAACCTATGCCAGTGTTGTAGTAGGACAAATTGGCAAAGGTCTAACACTACCAGTTGGTACTAGTCCCCAAGACGTTCTGTACTGTTATTCAAGTGTAGCGTCTTCGTTAAAGGTTTAGCTTTTGGAAGACTATGTTAGAGGACGATCCTAAGACTTAAATTTGATAAAAGACATCAAATGAACTAATGAACAAGCTGGTATCTCGGAAAATCTGATATTGGATATTTCTCTATATACTTTTTTATGGGTGGTTATCGAACTTGAATGCCTTGTAAGCCTACTGTGAGAGATGGGCAATGCCTGCATCATTTGCTCATTACCAGGAGGCCCATTTTGCTGGGCCGACACTGTCATTGAGAGATGAAAGCTAGGGCAGGACTCGATCTGAATTGTAGTTCAGATTCAAGTTGGTTCAGTGAGGGCGACCGCAAAAGTCACAAGCCAAAACCTACTCCTAACAAGTTGTTGACTTTTCATTAACCATTGTGGGCTAGTGCGCTTCCCTTTTTCAACGTCAAAACAGTTCGAAATTATCTGTCTTCATTGCAGGGTCTGGAGGATCATACATGCTTCTTCTGAATGATTTTGAGAGCTCCCTTAAGCTAAATATTGCTGTTCGTCCCATGAACGAAATACTGGAAAATATAGAAATTCCGGCACACCAAGTGAAGGAGGTATTATTTTTATCGTCTATTTTCTTGTTTTTCATGAGATATTTTGATTGAAGTACTACGGTATTGATTAAAAGAAAGTACGAAGACAAATGATTTGAAGACAAATGATTTCTCTTGTTTCCTCTCCGACCAAAATCAAACGTATGTGTATCCTATCTCATTTTCTAATCACTTTTTGATTCCTTCTGTTGTCTCAGGTAAATTTGCCCCAAAATATAGTAGGAATCTCTTCGATTTCCTTAAGTACTGGAAACGGCAATTGTGTGATTCATGTAGGAGATGCAGGATCAGAAGGTTTTTATACCAAATATTTCACGCCAATCAGTGGAGCATACCTATTGTTTGCTACAGGTTTGCTTATAGCAGGGATATGGGCATGCCGCAAGTTGGGGAAAAGGGGACGACATCTTGATGGAGTCCCATATCGAGGACTTGAAATGGGGAAGAAAGACTCTAATTCTTCCACGAGCGTTGGAACAGCTGTACATTGGGATCAAAGTTGGAATGAGGATTGGGATGAAGAGAAGGCAATGAAATCACCACAAGGAAGTCATTTAGGAAAAAGATTGCGGAATGGTTCCACTCTGAGGTACATAGACACCGATTAATGGGGAAATGATTGGGATGATTACGTAAGGAACATATACGTCCTCCGTCATCCTCTTGAAGCTGACAAAAGACAATATTAGCGTGTTCAGTAGGAAGGATTCGATAGTTAGCACTAGACTTTACTAGGATAGAAAAGAAGTTAAAAGTATTGCATATTATTCTGCCAAGTCCTAACAATACCGAGTACGAAAAGGTAGATAACTGATGCAGAAAATTAAGATTCTTGCCTTGAATAAACACAATTATGCTGTGCCTGCTGATGAAAAAGCTGTGCACGAAAAATTTTGCTGTATGTAACGCAAGATCTTTTCGGATTTCTTATATGTAGAGGTTGCCTCTCCCTTCACTGCTAAAATTCTCATTGTTCCAGAAAGAAAGGCATTGTAGAAGATTAGGACTTTACTACTGTCCAAAACACTGCTGGGAAACTGGTTCAGCATACTCAGTACATTAGAGGTTTATTTCTATTTTACAAGTGCATGGCTTTGTTATCAACTCTTTTTGTGTTCGTGCCTTCACCTACGGCAAGGCCGCTGAAAGGGACTGGACAGATAATTCATAAATTAGAATATAATGAAATCACAATCTATTTCTTATTTTTAATTATTAAAATAAGTGCATAATGGAGGAATAAAGATAATTTTCTATTTAAATTTTTACCACCTTAGGATCATTATAGTCATAGCCGCCATTCATCGGGGCTTCGGTCACGGCGCCTAGGTCTTCAGGTCACCAACTTCTTTGACCCTTCGGCACTAGGTAGGCGTCAGTCCCTATTTGTGGTCTTACGACTTTGTGTATATATATGTTTTTGGTAAATAGTTGCCCAAGCCTAACATTACAGTCGTATGATCATTACACTTCATTTAGGCTATTCTATTCCACCTCTCAGAAACAAACGAACTTTGTTAGGCTTAATTGTAATTGGCAATTTTGTGAACAAAAATGGTCAAATTGAAAAGATGTAAAAGCCATTAGGTGTAATTTTGTGTAAAAGTGGTTGGCAGGTTAAGGTTAAACTTCAAAACAAGGAAAGAAGAACCGTCGCATTTTCACTTGCTTCTCACCAACACACTACTCGAGTGGCAAAAACAGAATTGATGTCTCTAGCTTTTTGCTGGACGGTGGCTCAAGCAACAGTGTTTTCCTTAAAACCCTAATTTGCAATTTTCGGGAGTATTAACAAGTCCAAACTACCCAAAACGTCCCACACATAAATACTTGCACCGTTTCACAAAAAAGCTTGGATTGTCCATTGTGAGAAAACGCTTGCACTCTTCAAAAACATACAATCCATCCTCCATTAATTTTCGCGATAGAAAAACATCAAAACCTAAAATTTAAACACCAAAACCAAAAGCTTTCAGAGGATCTGGCAAAGATTGAAGATCAAGGAAAGTGACCAAAGTTCCAGTTGTTGAAGAACAAGGAGTTCTTAGGGAATCCACGGGAGATTGATAAAATCAAAAATCGAGAGTTGATGCAGGAACACGAAATCCAAGAGGGCTTTGGGAATTGCAGTACAGGAGGTCAGAAAGTACTTGTGTTGGTTGAGTCTGACGGTGCTGTAAGTTGTTTTTATTTATAGTGGATTCATACTAATTTGTTACCCGAGTTTTTACCCAGTTGGGGTTTTTCAGTCATCAAATTTTCTGTGTTCTTTACTTTCCAAAAATTTATTATACTGCGATAATTCAACATAGGATAGATTGCATGTTAATTGGACTGAACTAATTAATAAATGTATCTTGCTGCATTTGTTAATTGAATTTGCTTAAACTTCGTGCAAACACCTATTCACCCCCCTCCCCCCGTAGTTTGAGTCGAACTGTGTAACTTTCAAAGTTAAATCAAAATACTTAATTGTTGGAATTGGTTCAAAAATTAACCAAAAATTGGTTAAGTTTAAAATTGGGAAAATGAAAAGGTGTGACTTCGTGTTAACTTCGGTCGAATGTTCGGGCTTGATCTGATTGTCAAATTATAAAAGTAAATAGACCAACTTATTCTACTTGTCGAGCAGATCGTTGTCGTATATTTGGAATCTCGAAATCAATTCCGAATGAATGAGAAATTGCAGTTCAAAGTTGGAAGAATGAAATATTGCAACTTTTCGAAAGGATGTAGGTTTGAAATGAAGTATTGCAACTTTCCATGAAAAATGCTGGATTTGGAGCGTGTCCCTTCACCCACAACCCTTCATCTTCTATATATAGGACCCCTTGGATGTGTATTTGTCATTCCAATTTATTTCATAATTCCATATTATTCATTTTATGTTAACTTATATAAAACACTTTGTAGAAGTAATTATCTTTTGCATCAAAATCATTGTTATGGTAGAGAGGGAATTCCGTTCGAGTTCGTTGGTCGAAGTCATTTGGAGTGCTCCTATAGCTTGACGTGATCGTTATATCATGGGAGATGATTATCGAAAAACCGTTGCACCGATGCGGGGCAAATTCATTTTAAGAACCAAGTGTCAAACACTTGCCTCGACCAAAAATTCACATCTTTCTTCCTTCATTTTCTGATTTCTCTTAATTATGATTTGATTTCAGAAACTGATTAACATTATTTATATGTTTGTTCTGCAAGGTTTGATTCAAAGAATAACTTGCTTTCGTTCAAGAATCGAAAGAAGATGAATCCATATTCATACATTCGGATTCGGTAACTATTATTGTTAGTTTCTCAAATTCCATTTCGATAAGTTGAAACCTTGTTTCGATTTCGTGAACGTGTAAGTTACGTTTTATGAATATAATATGTACATAATCGGTGTATTCCCCCAACATTAATAGCATGGCAATACATATATACAAAACTTTTACCCCGAGCACACACAATGGAAGCTTTTGAAATATCCCATACAAAATACGAAGATAAAAAAAAGAACCAAATTTTTTGCTAGATCCTTATTTCCCTTGCTCCATGATGGAATTGCATGTCCCTATAAGGCATGATAAAAGTTATTGCATATGAATTCTGAATCATCTTTTGTTCCTTTCAAGACTGCGTAATAAATAACAGTATTCTTTCCAGAGGCACCTTTTAAGTTTTTAACTACTTCGTACAATCCAGCCTAACCTTTGGGTAGACTGTGCAGGATTAACAACAATGGCTGCAATGCCCGAAAACCATTGATCGCCCTTGTGTATTTGTCATTCCAATTTATTTCATAATTCCATATTATTCATTTCATGTTAACTTATATAAAACACTTTGTAGAAGTAATTATCTTTTGCATCAAAATCATTGTTATGGTAGAGAGGGAATTCCGTTCGAGTTCGTTGGTCGAAGTCATTTGGAGTGCTCCTATAACTTGACGTGATAGTTATATCTTGGGAGATGATTGTCGAAAAACCGTTGCACCGATGCGGGGCAAATTCATCTTAAGAACCAAGTGTCAAACACTTGCCTCGACCAAAAATTCACATCTTTCTTCCTTCATTTTCTGATTTCTCTTAATTATGATTTGATTTCAGAAACTGATTAACATTATTTACATGTTTGTTCTGCGAGGTTTGATTCAAAGAATAACTTGCTTTCGTTCAAGAATCGAAATAAGATGAATCCATATTCATGCATTCGGATTCGGTAACTATTATTGTTAGTTTCTCAAATTCCATTTCGATAAGTTGAAACCTTGTTTCGATTTCGTGAACGTGTAAGTTACGTTTTATGAATATAATATGTACATAATCGGTGTATTCCCCCAACATTAATAGCATGGCAATACATATATACAAAACTTTTACCCCGAGCACACACAATGGAAGCTTTTGAAATATCCCATACAAAATACGAAGATAAAAAAAAGAACCAAATTTTTTGCTAGATCCTTATTTCCCTTGCTCCATGATGGAATTGCATGTCCCTATAAGGCATGATAAAAGTTATTGCATATGAATTCTGAATCATCTTTTGTTCCTTTCAAGACTGCGTAATAAATAACAGTATTCTTTCCAGAGGCACCTTTTAAGTTTTTAACTACTTCGTACAATCCAGCCTAACCTTTGGGTAGACTGTGCAGGATTAACAACAATGGCTGCAATGCCCGAAAACCATTGATCGCCCTTAGCAGAGTAATATCGAAATATTATTATTCGAAATGGAGGCCAAGGCATAGCCCATTGGATTCCTTAAACTATCCATCAAATTGTCTCATTTCCCCTTAAGCAAATCAGAGCTTTCTGCCTCATTGCTGATCCTCCCTTTTTGTACTGTATTTCTTTTACAGTGTCTGGCTAGGCATTTGATATGAAATTCAAATTACAGTACTCGATTAATGATAGATTAAGAGCACAACAACTTACATGGTTGGAAGTTATTCCAAGTAGGCTTAAAGAATCCCACGTAATAAAGACGACACAGTATAATTATATCGAGTTAAAAGAGAGGAGTTAGAAAATATTGTTGCTAAAAATTTGATTTTATCGGAAGTAATATTTGTGGGATAGGGAGCTCACTGGATTAGTTATGCCAAAACATAAACTAGAGTACAATATTAAGGACGAAAAAGTTTATTTGTTGCATAGTCTTGTTCTACCCAGTACTAACGTCAACTTATAATGCACGTCTAGGTGATAATTAAAGTTATCAATTGTATGTTTGATAAATGTCTAGAAGATAAGGAAGATGCTATATGTACAATCAAGATCAACAATCTCGATTGACAATCACACACATGGTAGGAGATTCACGATAAATAAATAAATCGTCGACCCTCCTCCTGCGAGGCGTTGCCAATCCCTGTTGTACGACTAGCAAAATTTAGGAGATAATCTTAGTGGTCCCTTGTGCAAGCTAATGTTGAAAACGCCAAATGTTAGGTATTCTTGGGCCCGACACTTTTTCGGCCTTAATTAGATAAGGATTGGGTACAACTCATATTTGGGTATCTGCAATGGCTTGACAAACCCTACACACCTACCAAAAGTGTTATTTAAAAGAAATTTGTTTAATAAATATATTTTCTTGTCATCCTTTATTAAAATATTTTTGTTAGCCAAAGGAGGAGATGAAACTGGACTCAGGACTTTTATTTACATGCTCCATTTTAATTATGTTCATTATAGTGGCACAATTTTAAGGTATAACATGGGAAATAGACTAAAATTAACTTAATGTATCGCAGTTGCTAAGAATATAGTTATTTTGTATTTTCCAATAGCTGAACGGATTGAAGTGGCAAAAAGGTCTTTCGTATGGCCCGACTCTAAATTTATTGAGAAGAAGACTAACTATTTTATATGACGTTCAAAATCCTCATGTAATCATATTCTTTCCGTGTATCAAATTTTAATCCAAAACGATTCGGGTTCAGACAACCACCAAGTGATGACAAACAATATTGTAAAATGATTTTAATGATGCTTGCTGTAATCTTTGTTGGATATTGGTTAAATAAATCGAGAATTGAAAATCGATTAAAGTTCGTATCGATTCGGCCAAATACTCAAAAGCTCGACTCAATCCGTTTAGGCAAAATTGTTTGCCACTTCACCGCTTCGGGGCGCACAAACGAAAGAGAATGTTGATTTCTCTGCATGTATTGAAGGGTATATTTGGCATTTCGAAAACCAATATCGGATGAATGAGAAATTACGAAAAAGGCCTCAACCATTAGTGAATAGACACCTTTTCATAAAGGTGCATTGTTTGGAAAGGGTGCATGGTTTGGCCTCAACCATTTCGTCTACACCCTTTCATGGTCTATAAATAGGACCCTTTGGGTGTCCTATTCCTCACAGTTTTGATATGCAAAAACGTCTCTCATCCTCTCTTCTATCCAAAATCAAAATCATTTCATTTATTTTGATTTTCTTTTATTTCATCCTTGGAGTACATAAGCCTACATTTGGTTCGTTGTACTTGTGTTTTGGAGTGCTACAAACACAAGTGTAGCCGTTGTATCTTGGGAGTCGATTGCCGAAATCCGTAGGCACCGTTGCGGGGCAAATTCGACTTAAGAACAAAGAGTCCAACTCTTGCCTCGGCTTTGTCACCATCATTATACTTATTTCAGCGTCACTATTCACAAAATTCTTCCAACAATCTTGTATATTATTGTAAAATGATTTTAATGATGCTTGCTATAATCTTGTATACATATGGATAGAATATTCACAAGAAAACTGGTCAGAGAGAAAAGAACAAATTTATGAGCTCAAAATGAAAAGAGACAAGGGAGTTGGAGGCTCCATTTGTTGTCTGATATTGCAGAAAGATTTGCATACAAATAGATAAGTCTCAGTCCAAGAAAAGGACATGAGGTAGAAGGAGAAACCATGTGAATTTCAGCTGCAGCTTGAAAAAACTAAACAATGTTATCTTACAAAACCAATCAAAAACCTAAAAAATGGCTAAGGGGGGAAAAAAAATAGATTATTAGGACCTAATGATATTGGTGTCCAGAAAGCAATAGTTTCTGCATTATTCTATTTCAATTCCTCTGAAACATTTCTTTCTTTTATCTTTATTCCTTTGATTCTGCTTTTACTTTCTGTTTTTATATTCATCACTTAGATTATTTGCTTGACTTAGATTATTTGCTTGGTAGTGGGAACCAAGAATCTTGTAAAACCTAAGCATGTTTGGTAAAGCGTTTACTAGATTATACGAAGCAAGTCTTGCAAAATATATGGATAAAAATAGAATTTGACACACTTATAAGCAATCATAAGCTTTGCCAAACATGCACTCATGAATATCAAATTTGCTCTTTATTGACCAAAATATGTTGTACTTTGTCACTCAGAAATGTTTCATGCACTGAATTCTCAACAAGAAACCTTTGTCATGTGTCTCTCTTCTTGAATTCTATATTAACGTTATCCAGTTTAACGTACGAAACATGTCCACTATTTATTAGAAGAGTAAAAATGTGTCGCGCTTCCATTAATTTTAGGTGTAACCGTGTCGGAAGAACGAGGTTGATACCTCTGTGGACACTCTTCTAAGTTTTAAGTTTGCCCCTTGCCATATGAAAAGGTTGTGGACAGCTTGGATTAAACTGTCTCATGGTCTTCGTGCTGGAATAAACAGGTTGAAAGGTTTGACATTTGCTGGGGAAAGAAGATCATAGGACTCGGGAGGCAAGCAGCATTTGTGAACACGAGTTTCTAATTTAGATTCATAAATTACAAGGTAAAAAGCCAGCATCAATTGGTTAGAAACAAAGTAACAACAGGAGGTGAAAGACTAGGATCAGAAAGTAACGATTTGATATCCAGTGGCGTCCCAAATTGGAACCTGGTGAAAAGGAATCCCGTTGCCAAACATTTAACCGAACGATTAAAAAACTTAAGAAAAACAACAGAAGAGGAAAAATATTAGAGCTAAATCTGAATTTCTACTTCTTAAACAAACCAACGGGATTCTTCTTCGCCTGATAAGCCATGATAATGCACCTACTTACCTTGAACGCTTAGCTGAACTCATCCTGATTCAATCTGGCCTCCTGAAGGGCATCTAATCAGCTCCAATATACTAACCACTTCTGCCATGTCGGGCCTGTTCGAAGGAACTTGTGATGTGCAGAATAAGCCTAACTTTATCATTGGAATTCCCTCCTCGACTGGAAACTTCCCCTGTAGCCTACTATCAATGCATTCCTCCACTCTGCCTTCTTCCCATGATCCTCTAACCATGTCACAGAGCACTACAACATCGTCCTCCAGGTACTCAACAGGCCTCTTCCCTGTGACGACCTCCAGCACCAGAACCCCGAATCCATACACGTCACATTTCTCGGTTATCTTAACAGTTTTGCATGCAAATTCTGGTGCCATGTAACCGAGGGCGCTCTGAATCTTGCTGCTCAAAATATATCGATCTAACATGGGCAACAGCCTGGCTAAACTATAATCTGCAAGCTTAGGTTCACCAGAATTGTCAATCAAGATATTACTTGATTTTATGTTGTAATGGATCAAGTTCATTTGATGCAAATGAGTCAAGCCTTTAGCTGCACCAAGAATAATATTGAACCTATCGTTCCATGAAAGGTAATTTCCACCAGATTCTTCATGAAGGTGCTTATGCAAATTTCCACCAGAGACATATTCATATATAAGAAGCTGCAGTGAAGGGGTCCAGTAATAACCTTCAAGTGCTACAAGATTATCATGATGGACTTTCCCTTCATTTTTTGGCATTTTTATCCCTATTTCCACCTTTCATTGCTCAAAAGATCATTTTTATCCATTTTTCCAATAAAAAGACAATATTTACCCCCTATTCAAATAATATAAGAAGAAAAGAAAAAAAATAAAGAACTAATTGTAACTATAGCCTCAAATTTTCGAAAAATTACAAATCAGTTACAAATGTATACTTAAAAATCAAAAGTAAAAACAAAAATAAAGAAGAAGACGACGCCACCTTTTCCCTCTGATGGAGCCACTGGCGGTGGGAATGTTGCCTTCGAACAAGTTCTTCTCTAGCCACAATTCCTCAAGAGATGTAGCTCCACCAATTTCCAATGGGATGCTACCATTTAACTGGTTATCGCTCAAATCCAGAGTTTCCAAGATTTTCAATTGTCCAATTCTTGCTGGAATACTACCTACAAATGAGTTTTTCGACATATTCAAGAAATGCAAGTTGCTGAAATCTCCGGTAGAACTGGGAATTTCACCAGATAGCTGATTCTTAGAGATATCCAAAACTACAAGCTTGTGACGAGAACTCTCCAAGGAGGAAGCAAGAGTATTATCCACACTCCCACTTAATCTATTATCTGAAAACAGAAGCTGCTGTAAACCAAGCTCGAATGGCCAAGAAGGAAGTTCACCAGTCAAATAATTGTGGCTAATATCAAGAGTCAGAAGGTTTACACAATTCTTCATAGACTCGGGCAAGAGTCCAGTGAGAGAATTCTTGGATACATTTAAAACTTTCAATGACAAGAGCTTCCCAAGAGAATCTGGAACTTGGCCAGTTAAGTTATTTTCAGAAAGATCCAGGGTTTCAAGGCTTCTCATTTCTCCAATCCATTCAGGAACCTCCCTTGTGAATCCATTTTTTCCAAACAATAGATTATTACACAAGGTAAGCTGCTGCATTGTGTTTGGAAGCCCTCCAGAAAATGAATTTTCACTCAAATCAATTGACCTCAGCAAAAAACAATCTCCAATTCCTTCCGGAACTTCACCAGTAAATCGATTCTTCCTCAAACTTATCCCCCTCAAATTGTTCATACCTTCAATGCCGTTTGGAATCTCTCCCTCCAACAAATTATCAGATAAGTCAAGCATCCTCAGTCCGTGCAATGACCATAACCCTGATGGCAAGGATCCCGAAAACTGATTGCCTGAAAAGTTCAGTGAAGCAAGCGTTGAACACATGCCCAAGCTCTCAGGAATATGGCCTGAAAATTTGTTATTCGCCAAGGAAACCGATCTCAAAGACCCACATTGCCTAAAGAAATCGTTCGAAATTGACCCGGATAGGCTATTCTCACTCAGGTCCAGCACCCTCAGATTAGAAAGCTGAGCAAAACCGATGCTTATGCTTCCTGTAAGGTTGTTTTTTGCTAGCGAAAGCTTTCGCAGAAGCTGCAATTTAAGTAGACCTCTACCTAGTTTTCCAGAAAGTCCAAATCCATCAAGAACAAGGTCAGATACTCTATTGGATCTGGGGTTGCATTTCACACCAACCCAATCACAAGGGCTAACATCATCTTCGTTCCAAGAACTTAATTTCCCATCTGGATGTTGAATATCAGCCTTGAACACAATCAACCCCAGAACATCATCATTTAGAGAAGGGGTCAGAGATTTCACCAAAATGGGAAACGAAAAAAAGACTAACAATACACCAAACAGAATTCTCATTTAAATAAATTAATATAGTGTTAACAAAAGTTATGGCATTGTTGGGTTCAGATTGAAAATCGAGAAAGACAGTTCTTCTTTTCTTTTTTTCTATCTAAAAGAATACTTCTCAGGAACCTAAAGAGGAGACAAGTAAACTGGAAGTGACTTTGAATAGGAGCTGAAAAGATTGGTTCTTGAACTCTTTTTAAGCTCTCAAGAACCAAATTCTACTGTATTTAACCTTCAAACTCATCAAAAGATACACATGTACATACAAATGTGCATGTACGCAAGTAACTTTTGCGTTTTGACTATTTAACAGCTAGAAATTGCTACCAAAGAAAAATATGGAAAAGAACCCAGAAAATTAACAGAAAAAGCCGCTAAAGAACCAAATTAAACAACTGCATTGGCAAAAGAGAACTTCTGAAAACCCAAAAATCAATCAACACATAAAATATCTTTAGCAGACGATAAAAAAGTTAACAAACGAAGAAAATCAAAAATAGGAATCAATTGTGAGAAGAATTTTTGTTTGGCGTTGAAGTGACTGTAACGAGAAGGACCGTGAAAAATCTGAGAGTGAAAAGACTCGCCGGACTATCTTTTTCTGGAAATGGAATCCAGGGGGTGGAGTAACTGGCTGGAGCTTGGAGAGGGGAAGTTACCAGAAAATTCGCCGGGAAAGGTGGGGGGATGGGAGTTTCCGGCAACGGACAGTCACTGAAACATTTAAAGCGCTCTCTTTTACACACACACACAGCTGTGAGAGAGAGAGAGAGACATCTTTTAATGCAGGTATAGGAACGGTTTTATTTGGAATCGACACGTGGTGATCGTTTATTGGTATAAATAATCCGACGTGTCTTTCCCGTTGTTACGGGTGTCCATATGGCCCACGCCTTGAGTACATATTAAAAGAAGAGTTCTGCTTCTGAGCCAGGCTCAGGGTAAAAAACAGGGGGCTGAGGTGATCTCATACATTTTTTTTTTTTTTTAAGATCCGACGGCCGAGGTGGAAACACCTCGGCACCCTGTTTTTTGGCCTATTTTTTGGCCTGGACAAGAGGCATTTTCGTTAAAAGAATTTGTGTATTTAAATTTTTAATTATTGATTGATTTAATTTTTAACTTAAACAGTTATACCTTTTGCAGAATAGAGTTTTTGGAAAATGTGAATTGTCGAAAAATAAAAACTTAAGAAAACGTTTTCCTTATTTTTGAATAAAGTAGTCACTTGATCAACTTTTGAAAAATATTTTTAATGAAAAATATCAATTAAACATTCTAAAAGTAAGAATTTAGATAACAAAAGCACATTTTTCATGAAAAGTAAAAATAAGATCAATCAAATACACCATAAGAGAAATTTTTTAAGACGCGTTTGAATGGGCTTATAAGCACAACAATTAATGGAAAAAACGTCTTACAATTTTGCAATAGGAGTTGGTTTAGCTAATTTACTGTGGCTTCTTGGAACACCCATTAGTGGTAAAATTCCATGAAAAATGTCACATTCGAGGAATTCGTTTTTTATTTTGATTGTTTAATACGAAAGTGAAAATGAAGTTCGAATTTCAAGATACAAAACACTTAAAGCATGTTTTTGTCAATTGAGTGGAAATCGAATTTTTATGGTTTTGTGATTTTTTTTTTCCAATTTACATGGAATTAATTTGCCGTTTCCACCTTTGCAATCAAAATTTGCACGTTGTCAATGAACAATGAATTAACGAAATGACATTGAAGTAACACACATCGCACTTTCAAAAAAAGATTAACACATTTGTAATTTGTTGTCAAAATATTATTTTATTCTTGTAGATATTTATTCGATGTGTCCCATATTAAAATAAAAATTAAATAAAGAGCATCTATGATTACAAAAATAAATAAATTATAATTTCTTGGAATATCTTGGCAACAGTTGAGGGGAAATGAACAGAAAAAAAAAAGTAGATTTCAATGGCAGACAAGAAAAGAAAAAAGGAGATGTGCAGAAAAGAGAAAAGAAAAGAAATAAATGAAGATAGGTGGGGGTTCTGTAATTAATAGTGCCTCTGCAGAGTTTGATAGGGACCTTACTTTTATCCTTTAAAAACTTTTCTTCTACTTTATTTAAATTATACTCAACTTAGAAAGCTACCCTTGC